CCTGTGTGTATATATAGCCCTAGTTTTTCTTTAGTTCCTTGCGAGTTGTTGAATGTAATGGTTGTCTGTTTGCCAGTCATTCTGTTCTTTGTTCCCTTTGGTTTTTGCCTTATTGTTTGTTCTAGTTTTTCCATGAAATACCAGCACAGAGATCCTTGCCTCTGCCTATTTTCTGCAGCTTCTCCACAACATTACAGTTTTTTAACTAGCGTGTCTCTTTGACTAGTGCATTTTTTGAGCCTATATTTAGTATAAGTAAAATAGTTAAGTACTGTTAAAATCAGATACTCTAAGGCTTTTACTCACGTTGTTTTGGAATTGGTGACTTGTAACGCGTAGTGGAGTAATTTTCACTGTAAGGTATCTGTACTTTTACTCAAGTATGGTTTTTAGGTACTCTTTACACCTCTGAAAATCAGGTTATGAATAATGCTACAGATGGAATTAAAACACTTAGGTATATATAGTGCTTCATATGTAGGAGGTGAATACTGACTTATTCTCAGTCACTGAAATGTGTTTGCTGGCAAAAGAGAAGATCAGTGAGATCAGTGAGACTGAGGAGTCGATCGAACTGAAGATTATAGGATTATGCCATCGTGTGCAATCACACACAGCTATGGGATTAACAACCACCAACATAAAGGAAAAGCGCAAAAAACAAAGAAATCTGATCAATGTGTAATTCAGAAAGAAAATATCAAAGAGAAGGCTTTTGTAAGGTATTGTTAAGCATGATTTGGTCTGCTAATTGGTCTGGCCAAGTCTCCAAAAAATAACAAATAAAATAAATACATAAATAAAAATAAATAAAATACAATAACAAATCAACATTATATTAGTGCAGCAATGCTAGCAAAACATAAAACACAATGCCTACTGTATTTTCAGAAATTATGCATGGGCCATTAAGACATTTCTTCAACAAATAAATTTTTATATAACAAATATGACATGAGATTATGTTTTATGAGAGAGAGTGTGTGTATGACAGATATTCAGAGAGATGATGTGAGAAACGGTTCACATTGTATTTGCTCTCTTGAATTATTGATCCTCTTTCAGAAGCAATTGAGAGGGAGAAAGAGAGGGAGAAAACTAAACCAAGCTGCTGAGAAAGAGTCAGTTAAAGATAAGGTTGAATGAGAGGAAAAGCCTGGCTGGTGTATGTGTGGAAAGATCAGCGGCACAAAAAAGCTCACTGAAAGGAATATCCAGGCGTTTTGCAAAATCAAATACTATAGATACGTCGCTTCTTCCGTTATATGACAACTTTAATTTAAAAAAAATTATTTATTAAATAAATTGATATTTCTAAATATTTTCTAGTTACAATGTCCAATCTCATGATGTAACAGAAGTTAAGGTCTAATTTAAAGGGGTAATTTCATACTTTATATTGTATTATATTAATATATAATGTTAGTAGTTTTTGTGGATATTTTTGCTGATGTTCTTCTGATAGTTACATTTACATTCATGCATTAGGCAGATGATTTTATCATCTTACAATTACATTCAAGGTACTCATTTAATCAGTTATTGTTTTCCCTGGGAATTGAACCAATGGCCTTGGCGTTGCTAGCGCCATGCTCTACAGGAAGGCGCATTATAAATAAAACAGGCCCTCCATCATGAACAGATAGCCAAATATTTTTACCTTTATCTGACTCAGGGTTTATAAAAATGTAAATTTATGTACTGAGGGATGAGTCAGAATGTTTGTCTGTGGTAAATGACAGCAAACCACAGATACTGTCAGAAACACACACACACACTCACTCACGGACAATGCCTATTAAAACCTGCCACCGCTTGAACCCTCCAACATCGTATGAATCCCCATTGACAACTATCCCTTATTATTCTTATCTCTGTGCCTGAATTTAGTACATTTATAGCACATCAGGAGAGCAGGTTAATAACATGCTGTGGAGTGAGTTGGGCAGCAGAGGGTCTAACTGTAATACTCAGGTTTGTTGGACAATGCGGAGGAGGATATAGTTTAGGATAGAAGTTATGCGGCTCAACCTTTTTTTTGGCTTTGAGGAGAAGTGTGTTAAATGACAGTCATAAAACATCTGCAGCCATCAATCCCATATTCCCTACTTCTCCAGAGGTGCAGCAGAGCACATATTATGCCCTGGGTGGGGAGTCTTGCTGGTGATTTCCTGCCTGTGCGGTTGAATCGTTTTTTTTGGAAAGAGCCAACGATAGCAAGCAATAATCAAAGAAGGATTTCACCCTCGGCTGCGCTCTCAACAGGATTAAGACGCACCACTCACCGACATTAGCCACTAAAGCCTTTTAGCTCAGTCAGCAGCGCTATGAGAGGAGAGAGAGCCCTTCAGTCAATTACCAGGGTACTGCTGCTCCGTCTAATATATGTACATGTCATAGAGCCCATATCGCAAACACCACAAATGACAACTTGACTCTAAGGACCAGATTCAGCTCAAGTCCAGTCTGCTGAAACTAGACTATTAGGAAAAATCTGAGGGAGCACAAACTGTCAAACAGTGCTGGATCAAACACAGTGCGCTTTGAGAAATTGCTCTTGGCTGTCAAAATCAAGACT